AGTTTCGAACTGCTGACCGTGAGGTTAGCAGCCAGATTCGTAACCACTATACTACCAGATCTCCTTATGGGCATATTCTTTTGAAATAGAAAAGAATGGTATGCAGAGAATATGATGTTACTCACACAAGTATTTGTGATATTTTTAGACAATTGCCTAAGTACTAACAGAATGATTAAAATCATCACTAATGGTAGAGTTTTGCCAGAATAAACTGCCAATGGCTTTACCTTGGAGGTTATATTTATTAAAGTTGCAAAATGCTTTCTAAACTTTTTATTGTTGTTGTTGTTGAGTTAAGCATTTAAATATATACACAAAGCATTTAAATATATTTCTCAGACTGCCTTCATTGCATTCCTATTCCATGGTGTAGACATTCTTAGTTTTAATCTCCCATTTATCTTTGTGCTAGAGCAGAGTTCACATTATATCTTTGAGAACCTCTTGTCTCCTCTTTACAGGCTAAGGTCTGTGAAGCCCCTCAAATTCCATGACCTCAAATGTGGGAACACAAACTAATACTATATATATAGCCCATGGATTCACTTCACTGACTACACAGAAAGCTCCTGTATAGGTTCTTTTTTGAATAGTATTTCATTTTCTGTGGGTGTTTCACAGCTTTTACCTTATCTGTTACCATATTCAGTACTTAACTACTTTCTATAAAATCTTTTCTTAAATTATTAAGAAAAATGATTTAAAACCTAGAAATAAGAAATGTTACTGGTCTATATGACATTATCCACTTTTGTTTTTAACTCATCATTGTTGTGCTGTGGTGAGGTGCTGTCGAGTCAGTTCCGACCCATAGTGACTCTGAGTACAACAGAATGAAACACCACCTGCTTCTGTGCCACTGTCACAACTGTTGCTGCGCTTGAGTCCATTGTTGCTGCCACTGTGACAATCCATCTCTCATTGGGGGGTTTCTTTTTTTTTTTTCTCTGACCCTTCACTTTACCAAGCATGATATTCTTCTCCCGTGACTGGTCCCTCCTATGCCTGAAGTATGAGAGAAGTCTGACCATCTTGGCTTCTAAGGAGCATTCTGGTTGTACTTCTTCCAACACAGATTTGTTTGTTCTTCTGACAGTCTATGGTACCTTTAACATTCTTCCCCTACACCATAATTCAAATGCATCAATTCTTCTACAGTCTACCTTATTCATTGTCCAACTTTCACATGCACATGAGACTATTGAAAATACCATGGCTTGGGTCAGGTGCACTTCAGTCCTCAAACTGACATTTTTGCTCTTGAACACTAGAAACATGTCTTGTGGAGCATATTTGTCTAATGCAATATGTCATTTGATTTCTTGACTGCTGCTTCCATTAGTGTTGATGGTGGATACATGTAAAATGAGGTCTCTGACAACTTCAATCTTTTCTCCATTTATCATGATGTTATTTATTGGCTCAGTTGTGAGGATATTTGCTTTCTTTACATTGCAGTGCAATTCATACCAAAGGCTGTGCTCTTTGATCTTTATTAGTATTTTAAGTCCTCTTCATTTTCAGCAAGCAGAGTTGTATAATCTGCACATTGTAGCTTGTTAATGTTTCTTCCTCTAATGCTAATGCCATATTCTTCTTCAAATTA